TCGCCGAATTGTAGAATTAAAAAAAAACTCTATAATATGCCTTGTATTGTAATGACCCCAACCAAACTCCCAAAATACCACTGATTTTTTTTCTGCCTGCAGGTACCAAAACTGGATATCTTCATTTAATTCAAAGAACTAACCTCCGTTTTCTCCATAGAATAAGTATTAAACACTGCGCGGTAGGGGGTAAATGTTAATAGCCTTTTATCTGTAATACATAAACTTCCTTCAAATAGATTTTTAACAATGTTTACAGACAGGGACATGTGCAGTATGTTTTATTACAAATAATACCCTTAAGTTTATTTTTCTTTTATAATCATGAAAAACATGCTGCAATGAATTTCAAAGGTTTATAGATCCATAATTTTGTTTGTTTGGGTAAAACAGAAAGGTGAAGGTGAAAAACGCCAAGGGAGAGAGAGTCACTCACCTCAAAAACTACAAATCGTAAGAGAATTCAAATTTCATAGAAGCAAGAAAAAATACGACTAATGGCCTGAAAAACCGAAGTAAAAATAAAGAAAATTTTGAATAGTTTCTTTTACATAAATTTTTCAAATTTTTCACTTCATATAGATCAGAAAGTATTCTTAAGTAAATCGAATTTGAATTAGAAAAAAAGGAGAGATGGTTGTTATCGAACAAGCTGCAATGACATCAAAATTTCTTGTCTTGCTCTGAAATCTTATGCAAATATTTTTTTTTAAAAATATTAACAACAGTTTTTCATATGCAGTATAGTTATTACTGTAGTTGAACAGTTGTATCGATGAAGAATCAAAATATTTATAGTCTGCCTGCCATCTACATGAAATATGAAGATAAATGACTAGTTTTCATGGTCTAGGTTCATTTAACCAACGCAGACAAGGGGGCCTCTAAAAACATAAATGTGGGATCAGGTCCTATTGAGAAGTAACCAGCCTCTGTTGACCAGTGGCACTCGTTGTGTGTTCCTTGTCATGAACGGTAAACAAGAAATCAGAAGAAATTTCACCGTTTAAATAAGGGCAAAACAGTACATATGGGGAAAACATCGGCATTTCCTAATAATAGATTGTACTTGCTGATAAGGTCATTATATGGATCACAGACCTTGAAAAAAATAGTACTTCAAATGAGACTTTAGATATCCTTGATTCATCAACTTGTTGGTCAATAGCTTACCTCGTTTTAAAAATTGATCGTACATATAGCATATTATCTACTGGGAGACATACTCTCCATATGTAGGTGATAAGAGCTATATTACAACATAAATAAGGGAAGTTGGCTTTCGAATAGTTTAAATCATCATTTATTATACAGTTCTGTTTTAAGGTTACCATTAGGAATTTTTTTCTCATAAAATTTACAAATACTGCAGTATGAAACATCTGTTTCAGATACTTTGATGTCTGTCACTGGTTTATTTCGTTTTATATTTTTAATGTTGCATCCCTTAAGCCTTATGTATTGACCAGGTACACGAAACAAAATCAGTATTAAAAACAAAGGCCTGACGAACAAATAAAAAACGTCAACCAAAATATTAATATACCAGCTGATCTCCGAAGATTAAATAAATGTTATCAATGGTGAAGAACTCCAACATCCCTTGAAAACTTATTCTCGTGTGTTATTTAAGAGTTATTTTCTGCAAACTTGGTACAAAGAACAACAAAAACAAATCAAAGAAACATAAAAGAGAGACAAATAAATTTTACGCTATGAAATATAAAGGTAAATATTACCTTAGAGTTATTGCAGTGTGTTTTGAACATTCAAAATTATTTTTTCTATGATAAAGTTTTAAAGGTCAATAGCGAGTAACCGTGCTTCGAATAAGCTAATATTCCTGTGTATAGTGAGTGGTGTGAATTCCCTCAAAAAGTACAATCAAAAGCAGCCAAAGTGCGACCCTAAGTTTAATTTTCAATTTAGTACACAAAAAAATTAATGTTACGAGTTAAAAACACTTTATGATTTATCTGTTAATTGTCTTCAATTTCAATATGACAAACTAGAAGGATGTTCTTTGAAATTGTGTAAATAGTTAAAATCTTAAACCTGTTCCTTTCAAAGGATGTTAATTAGACGCGTAGGCGTAAAACCGTTCTCATCGCTAAGAATTGCAAGGATGTGCAAAACGATACTTGTTGTCATCAATGAATTAACGTTATCCCTAAACGCTAAATTTTACGTACCCGAAGCAAGGTACTAATGAATGAATTATCAGAAAGAAGTGCACTTCCGTTTCAGATGTTTACAAAATTCATGCGCACAAAGTAAAGTAATGTACTCCATTCATGCACTGTGCAACAACATTAATTTTTGCATCACAAAGCAAATGCAAAGAAGGAAAGCTTTTGATACATTCAATATTACATGCACATATCTTGAAAATGTGTTTGAAGCTACGAATCAGTGCAAAACAACGTAGTCATCTGACGTGTGGGATAAACCGTCTAACATCATTCGGCCAAAGCCGTTCACAGAACACGGTTTTCAGCAAGCTCTTGGAAAAAGGAGTGGTATATTTTATTAGAACACATAGCTACATGTAGTCAATAGTCAAAATATCTTATTGCATTTTTAAAGTTACAGACTGATTTGGTATCAATTAATGCCATGTATAAATTATTGTTTTAACAAACTGAAGCCAACTGCAGAAAAAAACCGACGAAGTACTAACTGAAAACAAATGAATTTAAATATGAAAACTAAGAAAGTTACTCCACAAAATACTTATTATAACAGGATATTACCATTATGACTTTGACTTTCAGATTGAGGCTCGATTCCACTAGACAATCATTTTTTGGCCTTCATTTTTCAGGGACTTTCAGGGACAGACGTTCCTTAATTATTATGTTTAACCTTCAATTAATTATCAATTTCTGACATTTTAGTATGTATGTACACTCTTTAAATACCTTAAGGTCGATTTCTTAATTTTATCTTATGTTTTTTTTTATTTAACCTCGACTTCATATTTTTTATTGCTCTACCTGACATTATTTTCATCCGGTTTCCAGAACCAATTTACAACCTAGATAGTAGGTATTGAATACTGTCTCTCAAGGTTGAATCTTAATGAAAGAGAAGTGCAGAAATATACACAAAAGAAGGAAATGTCAGGGAAGTACTTTATGGAAACTTAGACATTTTTATCAGGTATGAAAATTTATGTACTCTGTAATATCTAGAGAAAATTCGATTTCAAAAATCTTGAACAAATAAAAGATGCAATAAAAATGAAAGGTGTTCAATAATGCTCACTTTATCAATGAATACACCTGCATGTATTTACCGTTATCGTTAGATGTCATAACATTCATAACATTTCCCTACTTGAAAAAAATTATGTCGAAGATTATTGATAAAGGTATTTTTCTTTTTTATAGGTGAAAATAATTTCCATTAAGTCGTAGCATTTACAAGAAGCATTACAAATAAAAAAAAAACGAAAATTAAAAAATTAAATTTTCATGTTTAACCACTTTTTAAAAATATCAAACCATTTAACCACCGAAAAAAAGTCCTTTATTATAAATTATTTACTCTTAACCTACATTAACTTGAGAGTTATCATCAAAAAGTCATAACTGTCAGTTTAAAACTTTACATATACTATGCCTTCAACTAGACATTTAGATATATCGACGACGTATTGTCAATTAACAATGGTAATTTCCATTCTTATGTCGATATATCTTGAGATAAAAGATACCACAGAGTTTGACACATCTGTTTTATATTTGGATATTTTACTTGAAAAAGACGTTAATATTAATCTAAAAACCAAGCTCTATGAAAAACGTGATGACTTTAACTTTTCTGTCGTCAACATCCCTTAATTAATCAGCAATATACCTTCATCACCTACATACGGAGTTTATGTATCTCAGTTGATTCGATACGCAAGAGCATGCTCTACGTATGAACAATTTCTTAAACAAGGTAAATTATTGAAAAACAAGTTGATGAAACAAGAATATCATCAGTCTCGTTTAAAGTCACCATTTCGTAAGTTCTATGTTCGATAGAAAGACCTTGTCGGCAAATACAATTTATCAGTGAGCCAAATGCTTACTGTCGTTTTACATACTAATTGTTAGTCCATTATCTATACACTGAATTGGCGACGGATTTTTCCTCTATTTCCCGATCATGAAAAAGGAGCACACGGCGGGTGTGACCGGTCGGCAGGAGATGCTTACTCCTTCATGGCACCTGACCCCACCTCTGATGTTTTGGAGGTCCGTGTTTGCTCTGCTCCTATTTTGTATTGTTTTATGGACTATTGTTCTTGAATACTGTTCGTTATTTCCACGTGTTTCATGTAATAATAATTTATTTATTAAAAATTGTTTTAATTCCTCTTATCTTTCCATTAAGACGAGTTCTTTGCTCAATGACCAGAGAAACATTGCCTCTAGTAATTTATGAAATGTGGATGTTGTCAAAAACTTTCTCGGTAGTAATCAGATTTCAACTTTGACAAAATTTAAGGCTTTTTGTTGTAATATATCTTCTTTAAACAAGCATCACTATGTAAGGTTGAATTTTGATTGACATCTTTAAGTTCATTATTCGAACGATTTTCACCTAAAGATACTGTGGTGTTTTACCCTCAAATGTTTACTTTCTCTTTTTTACTACTGTTCATATTACCTAACAATCCCCTTATCTCTCCCAACTCCAAGCACAAAAAAATCAATAAAGCGCTTAAAAACTATCAAATATTTAGATTAAACATATACATTTGACATTTCACACAAGTTTAAGAACACTTTAAATATTTTTCCCCCTTTCAGTATTTCATTCACAGGTTCTGTATATCGAAAATCGCTCTTCTTTTGTCGGAAAAACGTGCATGGGCATTTTTCAAAAATTAAAAGTTCATTTTCGTCGGGTAGACCCTTCAAGAGTAGATAAGAGTCCATTCTGTGATCACGCCTCTGTTACAGATGAAATGCAGCAGTCGGATATAAATTCTAATTTTCCTTTGACTCCGCTTCATTTGTAAAGGTATGTAGAACTTATGAATAAGTAATTGTTGTAAATTGTTGCCAATTAGCGTGTGGAACTTAATGAATTGTGATGTATTATTGATCTGAGAACAGCAAGCGAGGTCAGGTGACTACCTATCCATATCAATGCACGTAGAGGAGAAACTGGAACACCTTTCAGTTATTTATTCGTAATTAAATATAAATACGCATTTCTTTTTTTAAATGAGAAAATAATTGAATTTTATTTAAAACGTTTAAGTCCCATTCAGTCCATACAAAATTTGCAATCACCAGGGGGTATGACATTCAAATATCTTTTTTTCCTTCATTTACATATAAAATGCTGAAAATGGGCATTTTGAATATGTGTGAAGGATTTACAGTATATATATTATACTTAGCACGAAAAAGAAATTCCACTCCAGCTTAAGAAAATTCCTCGAGAATTTTGACATAAGTGTATACGAAAAAAAAAATCAAACATACCAATTTTCAGTCAATTCTTGAGTGTTGCTCACTGATAAGAACAGATGCCCGCCCATGTGTATCTTAAGGTAAGATACTGAGTTGATTTTAGTCATTTAAATATTTGTATATATACTTATTTAATGCTAGCTTATTTATTGATTGAATAGAAAATTTCATGATAATCCTCAGAATGAATGATCTTTCATGACAAACAGGGAAATATAATACGCAATGGGTGTGGAGGGGAGGTGGTGGGCCCACGACATTCCGTAATATTAAAATTATTCTCAGATAATTGTAAAATCTGTGAGAATGTACACGATTTTGTTATGTCTCTCAGGTTGGAAAATGTCACTTGGTTTTTTAAAAAGTTTAAATGAAGGAGCACTCGACTGGTTTTATTAAATTTTAAGTCAAATGGATAAGAAGAGAATAAAGTAAAATTTAATTCGTCGGTGTCTTAAAATATTTGTTAATTGTACATTTAGTAGATTAAAAATTTTTAAAAGGTTTTAAAACTTGTTCAAATGAATCTTACATATATATATACAGTTCTGCATAAACATGCTTTTTGTCCGGTGTATAAATTACTTAAGGGTTTAAATAAATGTTAACTTTTATCATTCTTTAATAAGCCCACAATCTACTTGGTTTAGAAATGATATTCGATTAAGAAAAAAAATAGGGCAAGGGTATCATGGCACCTGTGTTGGAGATTTTATTTATCCTGCAATTCCTAATTCCCTCTCGAAGGACGACCATCGGCACCCGGGGTTTAGTTTGACAAATTAACCACACTACTGTTTGTCGACCTGTCTCTAAATAACTTAGCTGTTTTAAAAGGAGACTGACTTATGCACTTTGTGAAGATAAGATAGCAAAAAAGCTTAGTGAAGGGTGTATAATAAACGACTGAACTCCATTACGCTGATTAGATTAAAACGGATGTATTTCTCTTAGAGGTAGGTCATTTTTCAAAAAATCAAAGTCATAAGATACATCAATTCTAAATCTTTGGAATATCAAACTGTCGTTTATCTTGAAAGTGTTTCACTTTTTCTATTCCACACCGAACAATAAACAACAAACAAATTGTGTCAGCCTTTTAAAAATTATGTTTTATTGCAAAAAAATACATTCAAGTTTTAGAATGTTAATAATTTCAGAGAAAGAAGGTACTCCTTTCATTTTGAAAGGATGTCGTAATTTTAAAAAAATCATTTAAATGAAATTTGGAGCTGACCATCAATCTTGACAAATTGAAAAGGTTAAAGATTTAAAATACAAAGAATGACTTTTGTCAGTTGACATAATGCTTCTTTGATCTGAAATTTTGCCAAAATATCAAATATGAACGATTGCCTAAATCACCTACAAGCCACAATGTTAATGAAGAGTTACAATGTTAATTTAATTTAATTTATAGGGTTTTTTTTCAATGATGAGAAAACATTCTACTCTTGGGTTAATATATGCATTAAAATACTATTCATATTAATAGGTTATCTAATAAGATTATGATCACAAGCTGACAATAATAAATATTAAAAAGAAAATAATCATTCATACACAATAATGAAAATATGAAACTGGTAGATACGTTTTTTGTAAATTAGATGGATTAGTATCTTTTCAGTTCTAAGTATTAAAAATTCTAAGTATTGCGAATTCAAGCAATTTTAAATATTAAATTCAAATCAATAATGCATATAAAACCTCATTGACACAAATGTTGTTTAATGCCTGTAGTGCTGAATAGAAATACTAAAAGGGACTTATGACCCATACTAGATGTTTTGATTGATATTTATACAACTAAAATGAACAAATACACAACACGGAGTTAAAGATAATAAAGGTCATTTATTATTATAAAATGACTGTTCACGCATTTATTTTTTCCCATTGGAGACTCTTCCACCCACTCAATTTCGCATCAATGGGCAAGATGCGAATTTTTGCGAAGAAGCCCAAGTGCGAAGACGAAAAGCAGAAATGCGAAGGGAAAGATATAGGGATGCAAATGAACGAAATAAATATCGTTTATTTGTTTTTGCCTAAACATTTTTGGTGTCGCCTCTTTGCACTTTTGCTTTTTCAACGTTGCTTCTTTACCCTGGAAGTGATAGACTTGTTTGTCTCTATCTTTATTTACTTTAATTTTTCAGAAGTTTTTGTTCATTTAGTTTTGCTGTCCTCTGCTTCTACCATAGTTAGAAAGAGAGCACTAAAACATAGAAACTAGAGCAAGTCTATGGAAGTGCAAGTGGCCTCTATAATGGTACACCTCGACTTTACAACGGGTTATTTTGTCTTCCTGATCAATATGAAGGGCTTACGAAGCTTGACAGGGTATCTCACTACTACTAGACACCTGATCTCACCTTGAGGGGATCCTTCTTTAACGTCACATTCACAGATGTCTATTGTTTGTAGTCTTTTTTATATAAATCAATCTCACTGTTCGATAATTCACTTGTTTTGTTTGAATGGAATGGAAGAGGCCCCGAACAAACAAACATTTTTTTTTTTCAAAAATTAAGATACAGGATTATAATAATTATTGTCCTGAAATAGGTATCTGGATCATACATGTATGTTGAAGTTCATCAGACAAATATGAAAGTGCAAATATTGAATAAATGGAAAAAAATAAGCAAGATCAGTAAAAATTGATATAAGAGTGAGCAAGGAACCAAGCTCAATTCGAAGACATTGATAGACCATAGTGTAGATAAAAGCTTCAGTTAGCAGAAGATAAAACACTCGTTAATAAGGAGTGTGGACAAAATTCCTCTTTCAAATTGGCGATTTAGGAGTGTTTATCTAGCAGCGTGATTAGTGAATATTACACTTCCTCCCTCTCTTAGGGCGAACCGTCAAAATCTCATTGATTTTATGGTTAGATGTAAAAACCGATAGGGTGAGGTGCATTAAGATTCCTCAGGTATGGCCTTGGGTGCCAGCAAATTATGATGAATTTCCAAACAAACATGGATATTAAAGTTGAGCTTCCGATTAATTACTGGAGTTACTAGATTAGTGGAATACGTTTATCATCACAATTAACGCAAGAAAACTCAAATACAAAGCTAAATACATGGTGTAATTATTTCTAACGGTGTCAAGTTCTGATAAGAATTTGACAAATTTTTCTTATTATAAGTAAGAGTTAGTGTGATAAGAAACCAGCTTTAATTCATTTCAGTCAAGAGTATCCTCTGAAAGGACGATGAATCATATATTTATTTGATACGCTATGATAACAGCCTAACTTTTAAAATATTCATGTCATTCCTTAAATATTAACTGAAACCGACAAAGAATTGGGGATAAATAAATACATAGGTATTTGCTAATTCTCTGCGAAATTAAACATGAGTTTGAAATAAAACACATGCATGATGAAACTGGCCAAATGGGCGGATATTAAAACAATGTTATTATCTTTGGAAAACTGATATATATTCTTTATGGAACCAAATAAAAAATTCAATTTTGATCATCCATTGCCTCATAAATGTTATATGTCTTACTGCACCTGGGTAGATAAAATGAGATTTCCGTACAATCTATTCATAATTCAATGTGTATAAGATTCTTGGATATTTCACTTACAAATATATAATTATATAGCATGATTATATATTTTTTGATTTTCAAAATAACCTCAGAAATTTTGGAGTTTCTCCAGAAAACGATAATGACGAATTTCTTTTCGTGAATTGTTCTTCATACCTACATTTCACGGTTTGTCGACTTCAAGGAATCTAGGTTTGAATCTAACTGTAAACAAGATGCATTTTTGGTCGTTTATAGCGTTCGACAAATAGGTAAGAATTTTGATTATATTGATGGGCGTGTAAATAAATGTGTTAGAATAAGTATTTCAAGTAACAGATTTACTTTAAATGAACCAAAGGAAATTTCAAATATTTGTTACATGACATGCACGGAAATTTTGACTCATCTTAAAAGAAATAGCTCACAAAATGTGAATGCATGCTTTTTATTTGTCTTTTATTATATAAATTATTAGTATAATATAAATGTAAAGAAACGTAAAAAAAATCTTCGTGAACAATCATCACCAAATACACAAAGATATCCCCATCAAGAAAAAAAAAATCCAAAAATTGGTCGACATAGAAACAAAGTTTTTTTTTTTTTTACCTAATATTGGAAGTCAATTATGATATGCAACAGAAAGATAAATTTTTGTAAGGTTTTAAATGAAAATTAAGAGCGATTAATTTCATTAAAATAACAAACAATACAAAAATCTATAAACAGGACAAAATCATGGACCCTATGAAGTTTCAAAAGTAGGATCAGGTGCCTATGATGATGAAGCATCCCCTGGTTACCGATTACTCCCGCCCTAATCAGCCCTTTGCATGGATGAAACAGACTTAACATTTCGTTGTAAAATTTAAAATAGAACAAAAAAGCTCTTGACCAAAAAAAAAAAAAAAAAAAAAATTAAGTCAAAACGATTTAAAAATTGACCGTACTCTAAACATGCTCGGGATTGAATAACTCTTGAGA